AGACAGACAAGAAAGTGAGTTCATAAAAACGTGGTAAAATAATAAACCGCTGGTTTCGGAGTCGGAATACATTTTTTTTTCTTCCACGGTTTTTGACGAGTTCATAATTTTCAGCGCATATGGAACTTTTTTCCGCGTATTTCTTCTGATTCTGTTTCACAGCAATGTTTCCAGTGCAGAATAATTTTTTTTTGCTTGATTTCATTCGAAGAACTCGAAGAAATCCTTATTTCTTGTGAACTTGTTTCTCTGGTTTTGGCGCCGGATTACTGAGTCTCTTTCATGTTTTCGAGTCGATTTGTCCTGAATTGCTTTTAGCATCAGTGGGGAGTTTCCTGTTACGCAATTTCTCCGTTGCAGTTTTTTTTTTTTTTTGCTTAATTTGACGGCCCTAGGGATTCCATCAAAAGTTTCTGCGGGATTTTCAACGTTTGCGTGATGAAAGATATTTTTAAAATATGGCTGATCTGTTTAGTCAACTTGTCTGAGCTCATTTTCTGTATTTTCTTCAAAGAACAGATTAGAGTATGCGTCAGAATATCCCATTAAGCATAGCATCAAGTGGACAGAGTGCCTTGGAAAATGTGTACGAACTCAAAAATAAAAATTAAAGAAATGTTTTCGAAATATTTGTAGAATTAAGATTTATTTTAATTCGTATTGCTCTTCCATCTTTACGGGCATTTTAATATTTACTTTACTTTTATTAATCATAAATGACAAAAAATGAAGATTTTAGTGCTGGAAAGTTTTTACAAAAAGTAATTGAATATGTTTTGCAAAAAGATGTATCAAATGTTTGCTTCGACGTATGTCGTATCTTCTTCTTTGTGTACTTGTTGTTTCGGTGCTTCTTGCTGTTTTAGAATAAATTTGCCACTTTTTTTTTGCTGGGTCTTTCGTTGCCTAACCCGAGGATCACCTGCTCAGTAAGAGAAAATGCGCGGCACCATTTAGTTGAATGCCTTTTCTCTGATCTCATTATTTTTCGTGAGGTTGCATAGGTGTCGCCTGAAATCGCGTTCCTGTTGATGGTCAATTTATATTCCGAAATGGAACAGTTTATGTTTTTTGGAGCTAGGATCTCTTCGTTCTGTGAGTTAATTTTCCCGTTCCCTTTTTTCACGAGTAATGTTCGATTAGCTGATTACATGATAACAATTTTGTTTACGCTAGAATAAATGGGAATCCGTCGTTTTTTGTGCTTCTTTTGGTAGCAGATTGATCTTTTCATAGTTTTTTTTTTTCAAAAGCAAATACTCACAGGGTGTTTTGGGGTTGATCCTTCTCGAATAATCTCTCAATTTTTATCAGCAAAAGCGAACGAGCATGCGACTTTTTTTTAATTCACTTCCGATTCACGCGATCATTGTTCTGACTGGAATTTGGATATTTATTTGTGAAACATTTTCTTTTGTGTCGCAGAAACGCACATTTTGGTCAAATATTTTTTTTTATCGGGAATACAAGAGAAAATATATCGTCAGTGAGATTTTTGCATAGCATTTCTCTTTTGTTGCAAAATAAATTTTTTTGTAAAGAAAAATTTTTCTCACGAAGGCAAGAAAATTCTCGTCATTGAGATAATGCTGTTGGGCGTGTGTTGCGGCAAAAACAAAATATTCAAGTTTGTTTCTCGAGTTGTTTTTGAATAAATTGAAAAGAGAGAATAGTCTGGGAGATTTCTGATCTCAAAATCTGTGAATAATTTTCCTTCTATTTTATTTTATCCAGAGGAACACTTTCAATAACTCAATTGTAGTCTCCTCACAAGTTCACAGATCGAAAATTAATAGCAAACCGTCGCATGAAGATCGTGTTTTTTTCATATCATTTTTTAAAGATTTATTTTTTTAGTTGACATTCAGCATTGGTTTCTGCGGAAATCGGATTGAAGAATGTGAATAATTGGGAATTTCGAGGAGTTTCGTCTGCTATCCGAGAAGGTTTTTACTGTGCATTAATAATGTACTCATTAACGAGATTGGCGCGAATTCATTAGTGATTGCAAATTTGCGGATCGTAAAGGAAGCCTTTGTTGCTGTACTTCCGAGCACCTCTTAAATATTCACAGAGATCCTCAGTTTGAAAGCACTCAATTGAGTGGTGGTCACGTTTTAGAACGATTTTTTTTTTGCACTTCAAGGATTCGACTGGAAAGCAGCAGCACAAAGAAAAAGAGAGAACTTTCCGAGGATCCCCTCGGGGAGATGAGGGGGGAGGCAAAGGAAAGCGGGACCAGGGAAGATCCCCCCTTTTTTTCTCCCAAAGGATCCCCGTTCCAGAGGCCATGAATTAGTAAAAGATTTCCTCGTAGGGTTCTCGCGATAAACCGTTCTGCTTCCTTTTGAAAAATTCACTCTCGCTTCCTGATGAGGCCGCGACTCCAGCTGTCATTTTCTTCTCTCTCTCTCTCTTTTTTTGTCAATTTTTCTTCATTTCTTTTTAAGTCAGTCTCGGGATGGACGCGTTGTAGTCGAGATTGAAAACTTAATTATTCACGAGCTCGAGATGTCGAAAAGAGAAGGAGGGTTTTTTTTTCTTTATTCAATCTCCGTGGTTCAGAGAGGCTTTTTTTGCGATGAACTGTATCTAATCCAAGTCTTGACTTAGTGGCTTGATCTTATACTCAAGGGATCTGAGGAAAAAACTTATGCTTATGTGCTTTTGTCCAGAGACCAAAAAATAAAATATATACTTTGATATCTCAAACATATGAATGAATGAATGAACAGAACATTTTATTTGCCGCTTTTCAGCATTCACAAGGTTCAATCAAGATTTCCACATCCAAACCCCCTCCCCACCCAATCCAAATCAACTCAAAGACATTTAATCACTTCAGAGCAGGAAACAGAGCACAAATGNTCCTTCCCTGAAATTGAAAACAAAATATCAGTAAAAATTAATTTAAAGCACAAGGTCTTCAGCTTGTTTCTGTATGACGTTTAGTTGAATGAAAAAATTTAAAGAGAATCTTTGATGAGAAATCATATGAGGCCAACAGTTTATCTTGATCCTTTAAGATTTCAGAAAGGGTCTCTTCATTGAATTCCAATACTTGTAAATCTTTCTTAAGTTCATTTCTATCATTATTAAATGCTGGACGTAAGAAGAGAAGGTGCTCTGGTGATGCACAAACTAATGTATAGTATTAAATACAAACATTTGTATTTATGTTTGAATGTGTTTATTCAAACATATTCAATCACAATATAAGCATTCAATTGCAGTCACACATCAAATAGTAAAATAGAAGATTTGAAAAGAGTCTTTTGCTAAACCGTTTTTGCAAGTCTCTCTGAGAAATAAAAAAGAGGGACTCTGGATTAATTTTGAGAAAATATTCGATATGAAGGTAATATTTATAACCTTCATATAGCTATGAAAGCTGAAACCAGAATCTGATCCTAATTCATAAGCTGTGCCTCGTCTTTTGAGTTGCGAGCAAAACTCTGCCAGAGTGAATTTTGCAAAACATTCAAAAAATTATCAAACAGGGCTGATTTTTTTTTTGTGCCAAAGAATATTTTTTCCCTAAAAAAATTTTTTTCATCTCAATTATATGCCATTTTAATTTCTATTCCAAGAACTTTTGTTAGAACCCTCGTACATTATTCAAACCGGGTATTTTTATGTGTAATCTTTGACAGATGTCGTTCCTGGCTCGTGAAATGTTTTGCGCAGTTGTTTTTCTGTTTAAAAAATCAAAGGGAAAATTTATTGAAGCTGGGTAATTATAGCTTCTTTGCTTGTAATTTACTCAAGCTAAAAAAGTTCGGTGTTGGCCGAAAGGACAAAAAAACCATTTCTATGCGGTTTCTTTGGTTAAAAAAAAGTACCGAAAACTAAATTTCATTGTGCATTTTGCTTGTTTGAAACAAAAAAAAAATGATGAAGGACATGGAAAGTTCGCCGAGCATCGGAAGTGGGAACGTGCCGAAGCCGCCCATCACTCTGCGGTTGATCGTTCCGGCGTCCCAGTGCGGCTCCCTCATCGGGAAGGGCGGCTCCAAGATCAAGGAGATCCGGGAAGTGACGGGCGCCTCCATCCAGGTCGCCTCTGAAATGCTGCCCAACTCAACGGAGCGGGCCGTGACCGTGTCTGGGGCGTCCGAGGCCATCGAGCTTTGCATCCAGCACATTTGCGCCATTATGATCGAGGTGAGACGCCCTGTTTTTTTTAAAGTTATTTTGCAAACGTTTTTTCTGGTACTGTACATGTATTTTAATTTAGGTGCTGGTCTGCAGAAGTTTGTTGCCAGTTAGCAGGAAATTTTCTGAATTTATTAACAAAAGTGCCAATGAAGTCAGTAATTATTTTTCTGAAATTTGGGATAGACAATGGCAGTGGAAATTATGTGATGAAATATGGAAGTTGGGTTTCCTCCTAATAAAACTTCAGTTTACCCTTTACGGTACTTTCCTGTTATCTCAGTACCTCATTCCTAGACCGCACTACCATCCAGACAAATCTTTAGGACAAGTTCATGATCAAAACAACCTACCAGAAAATGTGAATTTTATTTTTCTGCATTCTGCTGAAACTGATTTGCAAGGCAGTTAGATAAAGTTAGGTTAGGTCAGGTTAAATTGGTCTGAGGGAAGGTACAAAGATAACAGGAAAGTAGGTACTGAGATAACAGGCAAGTACCAAATTTTCATCTGTTGAAATGAATTATTTACATTTTTTCAATCCAAGAAACCTTTTTTCAATCCAAGAAACCTTTTTTCAATCCAAGAAACCTTTTTTCAACCCCACCTTTCTAATTTTTTGAAGACCTTCCACTACATTGCTTGCTTTCATGATTTTTGAAGAAAAACATATGTCTGGTATAAAGTCTTCCAAGCTTCATGCAGGCAAAACTTCTGCATCTGCAAAAGTTTTATGAAAAAGTTGATGGTCTTCAGAAAATATTTGGGAAATTTCCTGGTCCATGGGCCCAAAAAGGTTGGGAACACTGCTTTGAAGCATCTTTTGGCTGTCTCCCATAAAATTTCAGGCCTACATACTTAGAAGAACCATGCATCTCATTCATGATTAATTTTTATTCAGGCCTCTGTGGGGGGAGGGGGGGTTTGTTGTAACAAGATGTTACCAAGTGTATTGTATCCATGATGCTGATTATATATTGTCTTTCTCTGTGTCTGTTTTTTTTTTTCTTTCTTTTTTTCGTCTCTTTCTTTCTCGGTTGTTGCAGAGTCCGCCAAAGGGTGCCACCATCCCCTACCGTCCCAAACCTTGTACCTCTACCACGAATACTGGTCCCAGCATGCTCATGACAGCCGGCGCAGTCCCCGCTTTGCAAGGCAACCTTGCCGGCATCACCACTCCTGCTGACGTGAGTAGTGGCCTGCACCCGCCCAAGCCGCCGTGCTGCTCTCCGGGTCCGCCGTTCGCGCCGCCCAGCCCCCACCCCGCTGCCCCGCATGCCCCGCCCTCTCCGCCTCAGCAGCACCAGCAGCAACATCAGCAACAACAGCAACTCCCCTTCCCTCCCTCCTCTCACTTCTACCCGCCCCCAACCCCCATGTACGCGCCTGCGCTGTTTGACCCGCATTGCGTTCCTACCTCTGCTGGCCACGCCCATCACCACAGAGTTGCCCCTTTGCCCCTGGTGTTCTTTGCCACGCCCACTAGTACTACTACCTCAGCTGCTGCCGCTGCCGCTGCTGCTGCTGCTGCTGCGCAACAACTTCAACAGCAATCACAACCTGCCGCGTTCCCTGCTCAGCCCTCTGTGTCTCTGGCTACCCCCCCGCATTACCATCAGCACCCCCACCAGCACCACCACGTCCCGCAACACCCCCATAATCCTCAGAGTCTCCCCCACCACCAACAACACCACCACCACCACCAGTGTCACCACACCCAGTTCTGGGCCCCAGACCCAATGAAGCCGGCGAGTCCAGCAGCGCCTCATGCGGAATCGCTGGAACTGGACCAGTCTTCGTCCGCACTCTTCCTACAGCATTCGAACAATGTTCGTGGCATCATTTTCCGATGACAGCCGAAACCCCCTCCCATCTCTCTCTCTCTCTGATGTCCTCATCATCCCTGTTTTCGTGAAAAACCACGCCCCGATTACTCCCCCCTCTGTCCCATCAATTGATCTACCATCACCTACCTCTCTTTTAGTCTTTTTTTTTGTATGTATGTGTGTTGTGTCTCTCTCCCGCTCTATTAATTTTTTTAATATGTTTTATCAGCTATCAATCCCTTCCGCTGAAGCCCCATTCACCCTTTCCCCACTCCCCGTTTGAAAGGCCCTTGATTTGAAAGAGAGAGACAGAGAAAGAGAGAGAAACATTTCAGGAAAGGGGTCATTGAAGTTTTTTTTCTGCTCTTTGTTTTTAAGCTCTGATGGAAATTAGTCACTATATAAGAGAGAAAGAAGTGTGTTTTTATCTCTCTCTCTTTGTCTCTCTCTGTCCCTATTTATTTTCCTCCTCAACCAGGCGCTTGTGCGTGTGTATGGTGTTTACCTCTTTTTTTCCTCGTTTGTTTTTCATTTTACCATATGGTGAACCCTGCATTTTCAGAGACACTTTAATCAATTGATACATCTAAAAGAATCCTAGGGCTGAAAGATGAAAAGGGTTTCTGGGAAACAATAAGATAAGTTTGGTGGGATATGGATAAAGCCAATGCCCAATAGTGCCAAGTACTGTATTATATATCAAAGGATTTTAAAAAATTTAACTGGTGTTTATGTTCAAAAAAAATTGGTAGTGTGACTTTTTTAATGTACAGTACCGTGTTTCCATGTGAAAAAAAAAACCAAGAGCAGATTGGGACATTTCATGAATTCTCTTGAAGTGGTAATATTTGTTGGTGCGCGCATTTTTTCTTCAAGTAAAGCTAGGTTTTTTGAATGAGTTTTGTGTGAAGTTGAAAAAAAATATATTTAAAATGTATTTTGAATAGCGAATACAGTATTCAGCAAGAATACATTTTCAGTTGCTTTGATTTAGAATCTGTGCATAACTCTGAAATTCGTGTCGAGCGAAAAACTGTCATGATTGAATTTTCTGATTAATAAATAAAAATAAATTTATCAAATTTTATAGACTGAAAATATTAGTACTGTAATTGGTCTTGGAAAATATGTTCCAGAAAATCATTAGACTTAGGTCAAATTTCGGTTATTTTATGAATTTTTCATCAATCAATTTTGAGCAAGTGGTAAAAATCTTGAACACTTTGCTTTTGAAGAACCCAGTCAATGTATTAAAATTTCATTTCCCTGAACAACTACAATTTTAAGAAATATCAGTTCTTCGAATAGTTGCTAATATAAGGTTCTAGCCTTTTCATTTGAATTCGGACTTTCGATTTACAAAAAATGTCGAAGTTTTCCTGTGGGATTGGGTGGAAAAATCGAACCATTTTTTTTTTTTAAGCATGATTCTCGAGACACTGATGCATATGTTTCCCCACCTCGATCGTCCCAAGTTTTTAATTTCTGACAAACCCGCCTTTATTTCCGCCTTATCCGTTGCTTTGATGTAGACGAGTCGTGATGACTCAAAAAAAAAAATAACTGCTTATTTTGAATGTGTTTCTTTTTCCCCCTTGCTTCTGGTTGACAGGTTGGCAAGTTGCTCAGCCTCGGATTGGGGACCAGCCTCGGATTGACGCAAGCTGGTATACCATCCTTTATTCAATTCCAAAGCGAAAGCCTCAGTTTTGAATATTTGTTTTCTTTTTTTTATTTTTTTGCGCTGGAGATTGGCGAATGACGGGTTTGATGGATATTGCAGCGAATTTGGGCACCCTGAACAGCTTCCGACCACAGGACCACAATAGAGGCAGCGCAAATCAGCAGACGCATGAGATGACTGTGCCGAATGAGCTGATTGGATGCATCATCGGCAAGGGTGGCAGCAAAATTTCTGAAATCAGGTTACATTTTTATTTATAAATTTTGCCGATAAAAAGAAATCTTCCTTGCAGAAATTCCTAAGGGTCGATAAGTTATGGTTGACCCTCTGTAAGTTGAACTTTATGACACCAGCAACAACAACAAACAACTTTTTGAATGAATGAACAGAAAGCTTTATTTTCCACTTTTCAGCATTCAAAAAGTTCAATCAACATTCCCACATCCAAATGCCCTCCCCACCCAACCCAAATCCATTCAAAGGCATTCAATCACTTCAGAATGGGAAACAGAGAAAAAAGGCTGTATATGGATGCCAAAATTAAAGAAAATACATTCCACAATGTACAACTGCACAACTCATGTGTATGTGTACACCCCTTCTTTCCCTGACATTAAAAACAAAATATCAGTAACAAGAATTGCAGCATAAGCCAGAATTATAGCAATTGCAGCAGTTACTGAACCCAATTTTAAAGCACAAGGTCTTCAGCCTGTTCCCAGATAAGGTTTAGTTGAATAAACAATTTAGAGAGAATCTTTGCTGAGAAATCAAATAAGGACAACAGTTTATCTTGCTCCTCTATTATTTCAGAAAGGGTCTCTTTATTGAATTCCAATACTTGTGAATCTTCCTGAATGAATGAACAGAACACTTTATTTGCCGCTTTTCAGCATTTGCAAGGTTCAATCAAGATTTCTGCAACCAAAACCCCTTCCCATCCAACCCAAATCCACTCAATGACATTTTAATCACTTCAGAGCAAGAAAGCACAAATTGATAACAAAAATAAAAGAAAATACAATACAACATGAAATACAACTGGACACCTGACATGTATGCATCTTTCTGAAGCTCATTTCTATCAGTATGGAATGCTGGGCATAAAAAGAGAAGGTGCTCTGGTGATGCACCAACCATTGCATTCATGCTGCAGGAATTACACCATTTAGACACCTTTGAAAATTGGATGAATTTTTTACTGAAGTGCCGTGAATTTTTTGAAAGAGCTGCAGTATCATGTATCAACTTTTTGAGGTTCTGAGTTTGAATAACAGCTATTTTTTGCTGGATATAAAAAAATAATATGGGAGAATATTAAACTTGCTGGTGATCTATTGGGTGTTAAAGTAGCTAAACTGCAGAATAAATGAGTTGGCAGTATGTTGAACTTTCAGGTTAGCTATTTATATTCCCAGAGGTTAGAAATGCATATCATTATAACTTTACCCAACTTTATCATCATAAGAATGGCTAAGTTTGTGCTTAATTTTAGCATTTTCTATCATCTCTGTACAGGATAGCAGTACAGTACTTATATTTTTTGTTTGTTTTTTGAGTCCTTTTGATGCCAGAAGATCATATTATTTGTGATTTTATCTACAGTAATCTTAATATTTATATTGTTGAGATGCACATTTTATTTGATTTTGGGAGATTTATCCCTAATTTTTGAATGCCCAGAGAACCAATGAAATTAATTCCCATTGAAGTCTATGGGAAAACACGGTTCAACATGCGGACATTCCTACATAGGGACACAGTTCTAGCACCAATTACTGTGAAGAATAAATGGGTTTAAAAGATTTTTTGGGTGAATAAAACGTAGCAATCAGCCAAGCTGCGGCCGGGGTGAATAACACCCTAGTTTAAAGTTGTTATATTTCCTTTTGTAGAAAACACAAGTCCAAAAATCTCTGCAATATTACCAGAAATCACAACACCCAATGTTGCTTGTATGAATCACACTGTCTGAATGAATCTGAGGAATGAATTTGGTGACCAGGAAAACTTCATAGAAGGTCAGTTAAAGATGATCTTTCATACATAAAAAGGAAATGCAGGAATGAATTGACCTCGGAGGTCAGAGAGGAAAAGTCTCCTTGAGGAGAAGGCTGTGGGAGATTCGGTGACCTTGGGTTCCCACAGAATTAGCAATTCTTGTAAATTTTGTGACAATTACGTCCGCATCTCGGGGTCTCACTGTAATTCATTCATCATTTTCTTTCTCCCCATGAATCCAGACAACTGAGTGGAGCAATGATTCGCATCTCCAACTGCGAGGATGTGGAAGGTGGGAAAACTGACAGGACCATCATCATATCCGGAAGTGGTGACGCAGTCGCCCTTGCCCAGTATCTCATCAATGCCAGGTTTGAGTCCAAACTTCCTTCCTGTTTTTCTTGTCGTGTACACTCACACAGGTCCGTGTCTCAAATATTCTTCAAATAGTTCATGTCCTAGTTGTCCTACTATAGAATCTTCCCCCTTTACCACCACCAATCAACCAACCAACATCAACCAGTGATGTTGAAACATATGACTCATGTGATGTAGTTGGTAGAAAATGTTCCTTTTTTTATGATATTTTTTCCACGAAAAAAAAAATGGAAAACGCGATCAATATTTCACCCCAGTTCCTCTCCTGGAAACTTTCCCAACCTTGACCATCCTAAACCAATCCTATGTTATTTTTAATTGGCGGTTGTATATTTGAGTGCCATCAATGAAGGATATACAATAATTTTTCTTGGTCCCAAAAAAATATCCTTACGTATTTCATAAAGAGATTCTACAGAAGAAAAACACTCGATTTACAGTATTTTAAAAGCAGTGGTTGCATTGTTTTATATTTTTTTCAAATGTTTGTGTCCAATTTAAAACTCTCCGAAAAGTGTGGAGAAAGAATTTAAGAAAGTTGACTGCGCCTGAAAATGCCATTTTTGTGTTCAACCAGAATTTCGAGCCTCCATTTGTCTGATGATCCTGTGGAATGAATCTAATTCATCAGTTATTTATTTAAACTATTCTAATTATGAGAGGAAAAATTATCAATAATAATGAATATAATCTGTTTCAGAATGCGTTTGCTTTTTGTCAAAATGTTTTATTATATGTAACCTAATGTCCCTAAAATTAAAACTGAACTATGTTTCATAATATACATTCCTGGAACTCTCAGAAAGACTAGAATGAATTTTAAAATCGGTTTATAGTGAAACATCATGACAACGAAGCCTTTGGGACTAATAAAATAGCTTTTTAATCTAATGAAACATTTTTTTTATACCGAGCCTCAATTAATATTGTGGCTGTTTGGAACGGACCTGAATACGAATCTGTTGTAAGTGATGATTCATTATACCGAGATTAATTTTAATTTGATTCCACTGTATTTTTCCAAGTTTTTAGTACAAAATGTATTAGGTATGAAATCGAAGTGCGGTAATCCTGGAAAATTTATATGAAATTCTAAAATTTCAAGGGCAAGAAAATGCAAAACTGTGCTATTTATCTGATTTTACTAAATTTTTTTTGAAAAATTCCGAAGTTTTAGCTGAAACCAAATTAAAATTTTAAAAAATCATAAATTATTCAAATTGTGTATTTTTGGTTAAAATATTTTATTTGGTGAAACAATATTTGTGTTTGTTATTTTCTCCCCTCTGGAAAATGTAGAAGGGCTCATTTTTTTTTAAATGAGTGCTGGTACCCACTGTTTTTTTCTTTAGCTCTTGTTCTTGGAAATAAAAATGAGGCGAATGTATCAGGAAAATGTTAGTAATTACGGTAATCGAGATGAAAAGAAAAGAGAAGAAAGAAAGAAAGATATTTTATTGGGTGAAACAATATTTGTGCTTGCTCATTTCTATGCAAGCGGTTGCTCGGGTTGCCACGGTACGAGTCTCGGCCACCACCACCACCACCAGCACCATATGGTCCCCTTCGGATGCCTGCTGACCGATAGGCGCCAGTCACTGGCTCCACATTGATATTTTTTCCACGAAAAAAAAAATGGAAAACGCGATCAATATTTCACCCCAGTTCCTCTCCTGGAAACTTTCCCAACCTTGACCATCCTAAACCAATCCTATGTTATTTTTAATTGGCGGTTGTACATTTGAGTGGCATCAATGAAGGATATACAATAATTTTTCTTGGTCCCAAAAAAATATCCTTGCGTATTTCATAAAGAGATTCTACAAAAAAACACTCGATTTACAGTATTTTAAAGCAATCGTTCCATTTTTTATATTTTTTAAATGTGAATCTGTCCAATTTAAAACTCTCCAAAGACTGTGTAGAAAAAACTGAAGAAAGTTGACTACGCCTGAAAATGCCCTTTTGTGTTCAACCAGAATTTCAAGCCTACATTTTGATGATGATCCTGTGGAATGAATCTATATTTAAACTACTCTAATTATTAGAGGAAACCGATCAATAATTAGGAAACTAATCTATTCCCGGATGCATTTGTTTTTCAAAATTTTTTATGACATGAAACCTAATGTCCCTCAAAATTACAAATTACAATTGAAAGATGTTTCATAATATACATTCCTGGAATTTTCAAGAAGACTAGAATGTATTTTAAAATCCGTTCAGAGTGAAACATCAAGACAACGAAGCCTTTGGGACTAATAAAATAGCTTTTTAATGTAAGGAAACATTTTTTTTTATACCGAGCCTCAATTAATATTGTGGTTGTTTGGAAGGGACCTGAATACGAATCTGTTGTAAGTGATTATCCATTATACCGAGATTAATTCTAATATGATTCCACTGTATTTTTCCAAGTTTTTAGTACAAAATTTATTAGGTATGAAATCGAAGTGCGGTAATCCTTGAAAATTTATTCTCTTGACTTCATGAAATTCTCGAATTTCAAGGGCATGAAGATGCAAAACTGCTTTTTTCAAATTTTTTGAAAAATTCCGAAGTTTTAGCTGAAACCTAAGTTAAAATTTAAAAATCATAAATTATTCAAATTGGGTAGTTTTGGTTAAAATAATTTATTGGGCGAAACAATAATTGTGTTTGTTTTTTTTCTCCCCTCTGGAAAATGTAGAAGGGCTAATTTTTTTTTGTAAATGAGTGCTGGTACCCACTGTTTTTTTCTTTAGCTTTTGTTCTTGGAAATAAAAATGAGGCGAATGTATCAGGAAAATGTTAGTAATTATGGTAATCGAGATGAAAAGAAAAGAGAAGAAAGAAAGAAAGATATTTTATTGGGTGAAACAATATTTGTGCTTGTTTTTTTCTCCCCTCTGGAAAATGTAGAAGGGCTAATTTTTTTGTAAATGAGTGCTGGTACCCACTGTTTTTTTTTTTTTTTTTTAGCTCTTGTTCTTGAAAATAAAAATTAGGCGAATGTATCAGGAAAATGTTAGTAATTACGGTAATCGAAATGAAGAGAAAAAGAGAAGAAAGGATAAAAGCCAGCAAACCGAAACACCTATCCTATATGTCTGCTTCCCCAGCATTGACCTCCAAAAAGCCCAGACCGGTCCCCAACCCGACGGCTGCTCCTCCTCTTCTTCCACCGAAACCACCACCGGTGCCACGAGCACCACCGCGACCACCGGCAGTGGTTCGGATGCCAGCGCCGAGCCCAAGCCCGGCTTGTCCTCTTTGCCCGTGTCCCTCACCAAGGTGCTGGGATCCAGTCCCACTCTGCTGGCAACCCTGCTCAACTTGGGCTCTGCTCCATCCGGTGCCAATGTGCTCGCCAATGCCCTGTCTGTTGCCCTGCTCAGCTGTGCTCAACAGCAGCAACAACACCACCAGCATGGTGTCCTGGTGGAGCCAATGACGATGGCGCATCACCAGCACCAGCACCAGCACCATCGTCGCCGGCAGCAGCAGCAGCAGCAGCAGACGGCGCCTGGTGGTGCTCATCTGGGGGGCGGTGATGTGGAGCCAGTGACTGGCGCCTATCGGTCAGCAGGCATCCGAAGGGGACCATATGGTGCTGGTGGTGGTGGTGGTGGCCGGGACTCGTACCGTGGCAACCCGAGCAACCGCTTGCATAGAAATGAGCGGAATCGACTCAACCCTTACTAGTAAACCACCACCACAACCACAACCACCATCGAACCACGTCAAAACCTCGACCGAACCTCCTTTTCTTCTTCTGGTTTTTTTTTTTTTCTTCTTCTTCTTCTACCTTCTTCGAAAATGCGAAACAAGCAACAGAGCAAAAGAGAACCCAATTCTTCTTTCTGAAGCCTCGAGGTACGATAATTGTTTTTTTTTCTTGTGGGTCTCATTTTTTTTTTTTTTTGGGATATGCTTGAAAATGTTTGGCTTCGTTTTATTATTATAGTATCTCGCTTTCTTGTTTCCTCTTTCTATATCTCATCCGATAGAAATTGTTATTTATAATTTACGCAAATATGCGAGGATTTTTTTTTTTTTTTAGTTGTATCGTAAAGGGTTAATTTTTTTTGGGAATCACGATATTCGGTCCTCTTTAAATTGCTGCAAAGAAACTTGAATTCCTTGATAATTTTAAAAATAAAACTTCTGACTGAAAGAATTTATTTGTCAGGATAAAAGCCGAGATTTTTATAATGCGTGAGACGAAAAGAAAAAACTCATTCAACGATGACCTGGAAGAACTTCGGTTGCATTTCTAAAATTCTTCGAGGGCTTTTTTTTTTTAATCTGAAGAATGAAAATTCTGTGTCATGGATATTGAGAAAATTGTGGAGGAAACTCCGAGAAAGTTCCTCACGTTGGCAAAAACCGGACAATTTTTGGGTTGATCAGAGGAAATCGAATTGTATCAAATTTAAATTGAATTTTGACTTTTACGTGGTATCAAAATGTAGACAATGAGCTGAATCAAGGGAATTCGAGTTAATTTGTGGAAATTCGGTGGTCTTCTATTGGTCAAATGTGATTCGTTCTTATATTTATTCAATACCGGTTGCAGTAAATGATATACAGTAATTCACTTGACACTGAAATAAATTTTTTAAATTGTTTGGACCAACTTCCGCGAATATCTGATTCCATTATTGTTGAACTTTGAATATTAAAAGATTTGTTTTTCCATCTGATTTTTCTTCAGCATATTTTTGATGATTGAAATTGCAAATGAGAGTGATTAATTTTTTCGACTATTGTAGCTTATTTGTGTGATGTCCTCGGAGGAATTTTTCGTAAAATTCTTTGAGAAAAAAAATGCGAGAAAATTATATATTTTATTGTATTTGTTAAAATTGTATTGATGGTGAAGAGGCATAAATTGAAGGATCAATAAGCTGCAGTAATGCAAACGTGTGTCGGTTGATGCTGTTGATTTATTTTGGTGTAAGGTTTCGCTGTGGTTATTTTTCCTTCTTATTTTTTTTTCCAGGGAACCTCAACCTTTTTCTTACCCACCAATGCTTCCATCCTTGCAGCCAATGTTAACCTTTTCTCATTGGAAGCTTATTCTCACCTTGTGCCTTCCTCTTTTACCTGAATGAATCTGCACCCTATATTTTTTTTTATGTCTTCTGGTAGGAATTGAACTAATTGTGGTTTAATAGCGTAGAAAATTGTTGGGTAGAAAACTGATCCTCACTTTTTACGTGATTTTTTTAGGGATCACTCTTGATAATTGTTGCACGTGTGTTTTTTTTTTAATGGAATTTCGTCATTTGCTTAATTTACCACGATTTACTTTTCTGGAAGGAAGGAAGAATCGTAGTCAATTTATGAATTAATTTTCAAGAGAACTCCGTAGAACGATGAGGGGAATTTTTTACTCTTGTTCGCCGTCTCGAATTCCGTGATTTTCTAGACCATTTGCATAGATGTCGCCTGAATGTTAGTACGATTCAGTAATATTTTCAAAAACCCGATTTATGTTTTCTTTATCAAAACCGAAGTCTGTTTTAACATTTTTTTTCGAATTCCTTTTCTTTGGTTCGGTTGGTGAGATTAGATTGCGTTTGGTCTAATTTTATGAATTAGGACTGGCTCTTAATTGCGACAAAAATTGTCAGCGGAAATAGATGAAGTGATAATTTATTCACAATTGTCAAAAAATAGATGTTAGTACTGTACAGCATTTGAAAAGCTGGTTGTAATTTGTATTTCTTTATTGCTATAGTTATTTTGGATTTGTTTGCCAAGTTAATTTAACTGGGGTGATTAATTAAGACAACATCTTTTGGACAATATAAAGTGAAAAAGATGTGATGCCGTTTATGAGGATCCTTTGGTTCACATCAAGTTTGCTGATTATAAAATTGTTTATTATACAGTTCTACAAATTTGGCTTGATACAAAAAGAAGGGAGTGACAAATTGAGTAAATTTGTCACTCACTTCTTTTCTCCCTGCCTCTAAGTTCAGCATCCTGTAAACTCACTTATTCATCAAAATTGTGCACCATGAAGATTATTTTATTCCCTGTGATTCTTTCCTTATACAGGTGGTACCTTGCAATTTGATCATCTCAAAATTCAACGGTTGAATTTGCAGGGAAATTGACTTGCAGTTATTCCACCATTGCCCCGCAATGTGACCTGTTTAGGAGATTTTTTTGCATTGATATTTTTTTTAATTTCACAAAGTGTCCTGCACTTCAACTGCTTTGCAATTCAACCCTATAGTTTGGCTGTGAATTAGGGTGGAATTTCCAAGTACTACCTGTATCTCCAGCAAAAGTAGTATACTTTCTCCAATTATAAACCTTACCTTAATTAGTCCAATTTTTTCTGCTGGTTCCTTTGAATTTTTAATTTATAAAGAAAAAACTGTAATTTGAGCTGCTTTAGATGGATTAGTTTGCTTAGAGTAATTCAGTTTTGTGGTTAATTCACTCAGATGCTGCATTCAGGCGACATCTTCCGGCCAAAAATATAATTATTAAGTGATAAGAATTATGTGATAATTTTCCTCTTGGTCATTTTTTATCCGAGTCGCTGTTAAGTTTTTTTTTCTTTTTACGATATAGGGTTGTTGAGCAGGTATTTTGTGAAATTGCGAAACCACTTTTTATTCATCAGGGATGTAAATTAAACTTTTGTTCCATTTCTATGGCGCATTTTTAGTTTATACAGGAAAAACTGTATTTTGGGTTGCTTTAGATGGATTAATTTGCAGTACAGTACTGTACAGTAGTTAGTTCATTCAGATGATGCATTCAGGCGACATCTTCTGGCCAAAAA